ATCCACCCATCCGTCCATCTATCTATTTTCATTCCATCCGTCCATCTATCTTCCATCCATCCATCGATGCGTCTATCTGTCCTTCCATCCATCCATCCACCCGAACCCACTTCTTGCCATTCATCCATCTCTCCATCTGTCCATCCATCCATCCATCGCCACCCCATTCAACCAAACCCATCTTGAGTCATCCACCCATCATTCCATCTATCTGTCCTTCCAGCCATCCACCCATCCATCTTCTGTCCATCCGTCTATCTATTTTCATTCCATCCATCCATCTATCTTCCATCCACCCATCCGTCCATCTATTTTCCATTCATCCATCGATCCGTCTATCTGTCCTTCCATCCAAACCCACCTCTTGCCATCCATCCATCTCTCCACCTGTCCATCCACCCACCCATTCAACCAAACCCGCCTCGAGCCATCCACCCATCTGTTCATCTATCTTCCATCCATCGACCCATCCGTCCATATATCTGTCCTTTCCTCGATCCACGCGAACCCACCTCTCGCCATCCATCCATCCATCTCTCTATCTGGCTGCCTATCCATCCACTCATCCATCCATTCCTGCATCTGTCCTTCTGTCCATCAACCCCCCCATCAAACCAAACCCAACTCTAGTCATCCATTCCTCTATGTGTCTTTCCATCATCCACCCAATCATCCATCCAGCCAAACCTGCCTCTTGCCATTTTTCCATCTGTCCGTCCAAACCCACCTCTAGTTTTCCACCTCCATTCCTCTGTCCATCTGTCTGTCTGTTACCATTAACACTTGAACAAATCCAGTAGAAACTTAAGTCACCAGTTAACCTGACACTTGTTTGGGACTGTCAAGGACACATACAGTGCTATATATCTATATTCAATATTAATAGACTCAATATTAATAACTTTCCATTCACATCTGTGTTTTGTGTGTGCATGTGTGTGCTTGTGCTTAATCACAATACATGTGGAAAAAAATCACAAGTGTGATGGAGATTTGATGATGAACAAAGTGTGGAAATGTTACTACCTTTGTTCTCAGGTAGTAAACAATATTCCACCATTTTTCTTGTAACTTGCTGGCATGTGGATGTAAAGAAGCACATACAGTATCTGAGGTAAATTTATCTAAAAGAAAGAAACATTTAAGGAGTTTTATCTATGGAGGAAAAACATGTATTTGTTTGTTCTTGTCATTTTACTCCAGAATGCTTTTTGAATTCAGCCAGTATGAGTCAGGTTTTGATAAGAAGTTATGAATGAATTGGATCCGGCAGCAAGTGAGTTTTTTTTTTTTACCAAATTCAAATGCATATTTTAAACTATAGGAAACTATAGTTTAAAAATCTAAGTTTACTTACCTTTCATTTGCATTTGATTTTTTCTAGGCAATCATCACATTCAGCAATAGAGTTTAGTGTAAATCTAAAATGTGCAACTAATACATTTTCCCACTTCATAAATCTGGTTACCAAATGTTGCTCAAAGATATTAGTAATTTTTTTTGTTTGGTAATTTTGTAGTACATTGCTTGAAACTCACGTTGCATCAGCACAATGGATAGAAACCATCAAAAAACATTTTTTTTTTTTATAGGAATACCCTACAGAATGATATACATTTGAGTCAAATTGCCATCTGAAGTCTTCTTGAACACAATGTTTCTAGAGTTGCCAACAACAGACGATGTAATGGGTAAAGTCCCTGGAAAATATGGGTTTCTTTAAACCAGTAGTTTTAAAGAGTGGCAATACTATAGATAAATAATTGACATAAACTAAAACTTAGGCATAACAAATTTCTGGTTATAAGACTTAAACTTGAAAATTTGACTGAAATATAAAGCAAAAGAAAATGAAGGCAAAGCTGAACTTCATATGTTGAAAGATATAATAAATACTAACCTCTACTGTGCAATCAATGCTCATGATTAGTTTATCACTGTCAAGGCCTGTCCCGAAGCAAACAGTAACAATCTACTGCAGCTCTAATCAGTGCAGCTCATGTGCAGAAGAAACTGAAATACAGAAAATAATTAGTGAAAGCAATTAACCATGCAATTCACGAGGCATATACTGAAGTTGCTCATGGAAGCAATGAGCAAAAGCTTCCTCATTGATTAGAATATCAATCTAATCACAACTTTTAGCCTTAAACAGACAGTAACTCTAGCTTTTGCAAAGAAAACGCAATCTTGGGCGTCACTTGCCCTAATTACTTAATGTTGATTATATGAACATTAGTGTTACAAACAAGATTTGGGATTTGTTTAGAGAATTTGATTAAAAACCACTAAAAGTGTATATTTCCATTTTTGATTATTAAAGGTGATTGGATGAATACATAGACACACAACAATAAAAATTCATTCATTTTCCAACTCGCTTGTTCCTTATTTTGGGGTCACAGGGGTCTGCTGGTGCCTATCTCCAGCACAAGTTGGGCGAGAGGACACCAGTCCATTGCAGGGTAACATTTACTCACACATTCACATCTAAGGGGAATTTAGATTATTTTGGGATTGTGGGGGAAACCTGAATACCCGGAGGAAACCCACGTAAGCACGGGGAGAACATGCAAACTCCTTCCAAGAAGGTCACCGGCGAGCCTCGAACCGCCAACCTTCTAACTGGAAGGCCATAGTGCTATCCACAGCTCCACCGTGCAGGAAAAATGAATTATTATAGAAATTACTCCAAGCAGCAATACATGGCCAAACTTTAAGAAGCTTAAACTAAAGAAGGTCAATCAATAATTCGGACGAACAAATGAATGAACTAAAACATTTGAAAGCTTTTTATATCAACTTTAGGGGGCGCTGTTGCTTTTGAGCATTAAACATTAAATACTGATCACTCACATGTTTGGGGCCATTATGTTTAATCATTTGAATCTTCAAGTTGGGCTTGTCACAAAGCCACCAAATTTGTCATGACGTTAAACAAAAAAAAACATTTCAATTGACATGAAATCCATTACTTTTTACGTGAGAAAACGGTCATTGGGAGGAGTTGGGGAAAGGAGGTTTTTGACCTAAATCCATATGGTGGTCATGAGATTTAGCCAATTGTGGTAAAATTTGTATTTATGGTCTTTATGGTCTCGATAATCCTGGAAAAAGTTGAAGAGATCCTTTTTGACCATCTTACACATAGCGAGGGTCGGGTTGCTATAGAGGGGTCAGTAACATAATGCAATGTTCCCTTTGTCAATATGAGCAAAATAATGCAACCCCCAAGTCTTTATAATTTACCAAAGCAGAGATATAATTCAGAAAGTTTGGTTGCTAGGGTAACAGTTTGGTTGCTAGGCAGCGTCAGTAATTTCATTAAAAAAATACTATGATTAGCAAAAAAAAAACATATATTTTCTGTGATGTTTCGTATTGAAGGTATTTTTATACATTTCCCATTTACTTTCAACAGCCATTATGTCAACAGTAAATAATAAAACCATTCAAGAGGTTTAATATGTTCCTGCACAGACTGATAACTTCAACAAGTGGTGTCTTAGTTTCTGAGAGGTTCTCAGTTTGAGAACTTTTAACTTTTACAAAGTTTAAACCCATGTTAAGTCAATGACCAGTTTGGATGTCTTGACACTGGTGGTTCTGGCTTGAACAGTCTAGAAGGAGATGTTTTTGGACCTTTTTTTGTGAAGTGAAAGACGAATAATAATATTTTGGCTTTGATCCAACTTCACAAACCAAACAAACAAATACAATTATTGTACTATTCGAAATATTTGTGCAAAATGCATCTTCAATACATTCATTATTCTTGTTTAAGTTTCCATTGTCTTCCGAAGAATCCAAAATATTTAGAATGAAACAAAGGTATAGTCTTGTAATATCTACATGACCTATGAATTTTTCATGGAAATTATATGAGTAACATTTTTATGTCAGCATTTAATGACTGTGTTGCAGTGCTCAGCTGTGCTTTTGGGCAAAATGAAAGGTTGAGAAAAGTGTTTGTGTAATATTCCCAATCAAATCAGCACTCAGACGAACAGAATATTATATACGGCCGAGCTCAGCTGGAAGATTTCAAACTGTGTATGAAGCCTGTCACACAGTAAAAAAATTATATGTTTTGCAGCTCTGTCAGTTCCCCTTCACACCACACTCAGAGCACAGTTTCACTGAAAATTTCATTACGCTAAATAAATTAATTCCTTGTACCTCATACATCCTGAGATTTTTTTTCTTTATTTTGGGGAATCATAAATAGAGTGATGCATGACAGACTTTACCCTCTTGGCATTCAATACTAGCTTTCACTCCAGATTACCTGTTTGGCAGTAAATTCCTAATCTTTGCCCTTGAAATGATGTTAGAAAATGGCTTTTTATTAAGTAAGAATATACAGTGTTTGTGAACATGTACTCATCTATTATTGTCCATGTTTACTGCCTGGTTGTTTGTGTATATGTGTCTTGGGTTTGAAAGTGACAGATCTGACTCTATGAATTCCTCTGTGGTTAGTCTGCAAATGCGTTTCCAGTAGATTGCTCCAAAACACCTCGTTTGCTAATGCTGTTTGCTTTCCTCTGGAGCTCTGTGTCTTTGTCAGGAAACGTTAGGTAGTAAATTGGTGGTGTTGCGTGTGGTTGCTGACCGACCCCCTTGGGGTTTATCCGGGTGGGAGGTTAGGTTTGTTGTTTCCCTCCTTAGGGTTTTCGTTTACTAGGATATGAAGTAAAATTAAGAATCACGACTTGCTTAACTTGTCATTTAGAGCCATGCATTTTAGATTCATATTCAATAGAAATAAAATGTGTACGATCGTGTAGCCCTCTTTTTTGTTGAATCTAAATATTTTTTAAGGACAATAATCACCATCATCAAGTTAAGGTGAAGCATTTTTTTGAAAATGGTTCTAAGATGACTTAGATCAAAGTGTTAAGAGTATGCAGACATAAAATATTGACTTACATTTATGCGTTTGGCAGTTGCTTTTATCCAAAGCGACTCACATTTGAAAGAATGAACACATTTTCTTGCTTTCCCTAGGATATGAACCCACAATCTTTGTATTGTTAGCACAATGCTCTAGCAACTGAGCCAAAGGAAAATTCACAATTTAGAGATTATTTATTTCAAAGGAATTAACTTATTTTCAGGTCTTTTCATTGAATTCTGTCCTCTACAGGGAAAGCTCTGGAGTAACTTTAATAACTGTTGAAAATGCATTATTCTAAATAGTCGTCAAGGTCAGGTGACTCAAAATATAGAACTCAAAAGTGAGAGATAAGGGTAAACAAAGACTTATAAAGAAAACAAATACAACACAAAACCTCAGCGAGGGGAGAAAACCTGACATACCTATAACATTCTCCAGGGAGGGAAGAACTAAATAAAAGTTAGATGAGAAAATAACAGAGGGTGAAATACTATAAACGGAGACCAGGCTAAGTACCTTAACAAGACTATAAACACAGATGAGGACAGGATCTGACAGGGAACACCTGCGGGCAACAATAATCACTAATTGTCGAAACATGGGAGAACAATGAAGGTCACATGAAGAGTAGAATCTTGGGAGAAGCTAGGAGCAAAAGAAGGAAAGATGAAAGTGACAAAATAAAAGGAACAGGAGAAACTAGGGATCTAAACAATAGAGACAGCTAGTGGTAGAATGAGTCAGAAGACAGGAAAAGGACGTGCAAAACATACTCAATGACCAAGAAATGAAGTATGGTTAAGTTTAGTCATTATAGCCTCAAACGATCTATTACCCTCCCTTGAAATCTCAAAAAGGGCAAGGAGAATCCCACCTCTCCCCTGTGCGAGAAAGATGGATCTTTGAATTTGGCTGACCAAACTTCATATTACCTGATCGGTTTCAACTTGACAAAACCTAATCGATCCAGTCTTAATTGGCTCCATGAAGCAGCTCATCAACTTTTTTTGTCAAGTTAGGCTTTGACCCTTAAGCTATGATTAGTTCACAGGCACGTGCACATAAAGGACTGGCGTAGGCACCAAAACACCAATCACGATGAACATGGATAGAGTGAGATTGTTTTATTTTTCTTGTTTGAAAATACGATGAGGGTAAACATATTTTTGTCTCTCGTAGTAATACTGTGGACAAGATTGTTGGCAGAAAGCCTCTGACTGTGTGAATGAAGATAAAGAAGCACGTTCTGTATTAATGTAAAATTGTGTATCATGCATGATAACAGTAGAATTTTTTTCGGCCTATACGTTTTACTTTTTTTTTTAAGTAATGTTAACATGTTTAGGGTTGTATTCCAAAATAAAGTAAATGCTTATTTGTCTACCTACTAATGTAAAATGTGAATGTCTTTATAATGTCTTTTTTTTTTCCTTTTTTGAAAGAAGTAACGACTACGCAAAACCATCTGCGGTACAGCAAGGGGCGTGACTTCTACATATCACATTGTCTGTGTGCATTCGAAGAAGCTATTACAGAACCTGTAACATGTAAATACGTGTCGCAAAATTGATTGTCAATCCCTAAAAAACTCATTCCCTACGAAGTGCTCGTCTAACAATTTAAACAGAACTATCCACAAGATGGGCAAGAAAAGGTGGAGCCATTGTTACCAACACTGATGTGTTTCATCACTTAAAAGTTCCATTTTATTACTACTGCTTGGATGTGTGTGAGTGCAAGTAATCAATGTGTGCAAGTGCAAGATGAAAAAGTTTCATAGTACCGCCTAACTTAGCTGGCTAGCAAGTTAATTTGGCATCATAGTACACTCCCCTTGGTTCTATATGTAAAGATCACTTATAAACAATTCTGCGTGAGTTTGTTTATCAGAAAAACCGTAACATTTCTAACAGTTTGAATGAATCATAAAAAAGTAAAGAAAAATCAAACCGATTGCACAGGATGTGGTGAACTAACGCATGAGGACAGAGAGAAAAAGGGCAGCTAAGGCTGTGTGTCATGTGGAACATTTGCCTGTATGACAGTTTTTGGCTGCTCGTCTTATCTGAGCTTTATGCAGCTGTGTTTGATTTTGCTAGAAATGATTTCTGTATATGGCAGAAAACATAACAGAGAGGATGAGTCATCTACAGACGACAATGATGAGCCCGTTTAAATCAAGAGGCTGAAAAACAAAGACCCTCGCCGGACTAGCACAGACATATGATGCACTATTGCTTTTCTCTATCTCTCTTTCCAAAGGTTTGAAGTAATGTGAATATTCAATCAAAGCTAATAGTGATTAAAGCCAACATTTATCACAGATCCTTAGCGAAAGAATAAGCAACATTGTCTTGCCAGATCTGTGGGTAAAACTGGAGCAATAGTCCCCATGTGAGTAAGTGGTAAAAGAGGACAAAAGATAAAAGGAAAGAATGAGAGATGCAGCCCTGGAGATCACACAGGAAATGAAAGAAGATGAGCGGAATCTATGCCGACAATAAAAGCCACTGTCTACTTTGGGTCACTCTGTCAGAGTTTAAGATTGACAGCCACAATTATACTTGCACATTTTACGACACCCCATGAAGCTTTGTGTGTATTGAAACCCCACATTTGTTTCCTTTAGTGAATTGCTCTGCAAATCATGCAGTAGGTAAGTAGGTAGGTCTTTTTAACAGCCAAATACCTCCCACCCTCAGCGTCTTTAGCAAGCCAGTGGTCATCTTGGACGAGTGTTTGGAGGGAGGGGATCATGCTCTGCTTCAGTGTCACAGCACATGTTAGAATTAATTTTTCCCTCAATGTTATCCCCCAATCCCACTCATGCAGCCCCTGATCTTGACACACCCACCACCACGTTTGACAGTAGGCAAGACACACTTGTCTTTGTGCTCTTTACCTGGTTGCCGCCACACACACTTGGTACCGACTGAACCAAAAAGGTTTATTTTGGTTTCATCAGACCATGGTTTGAGTAATCCTGATACTTAGTTTGCATGTCTCCTGCAAATTGTTTTGTGGGTTTTCTTGAGCATCTTTAGAAGAGCCTTTCTTTTAGGACGACGACCTTGCAGAGAGGTGATCTCGCATCCCTTCAATCTCTGCAGCGATGCTGGAAGCACTCATCTGTCTGTTTTTCAAAGCCAATCTTTGAATGTGGCGCTGAGAACGTGACCTCGGATTCTTTGGCCCGCCCACCATGGCGAGGCCTGTTCTGAGAAGAACCTGTCCTTTTAAAGGATGGTCTTGGACATTCTACTAGAGCACATTGTCTTATAGCCTAGGTCATCTTTATGTAAAGAAACTATTCATTTTTTCAGGTCTTCTGGGAGTTGTTTGCCATGAGGTGCCATGTTGAACGTTTAGTGGCCAGGCTGAGAGTTGAGTACCAAACTGAACTCTCCTGCTATCTGGTGACACCAGAGGCAGCGTAAAACTAATGAGTTGCATGACACAGGGGAAGGAAAATGAATAATTGTTCCCAACTTGTACACTTTGTAGGCCACTTTGTTGGCTAATATTAGTAGCTGTATTTTTACTTATTTTGAGAGGACAAAACATTTACACTGCTTTACATCTATACACTGACTACTTTTCATTGTGTCAAAGAGTCATTTCTGCAGTGTTGTCCTATGAAAGATATACAGTGGTACCTTGAGATATGAAATAATCCGTTCCAGGGTGTCTTTCGTATCTCGAACATTTCGTATCTCGAAGCAACTTTTACATGTAAAATGCCTAATCAGTGCAACGGCTCTCAGAAACAACAGCATAAGTTGATGAAAAAATCAGAAACCAGTGAAAAATCAAGTAAAGTTTCTTCAATCCTTGAATCTATACATTGTTAATGTAATAAATGATAATAAAACAGAATAAAACACATGATAAATACAAAAAATTTGATTTAAATTGCTTTAAAGCATATATTTAGTATTCTCTGCAATGAGAGAATGGAGCGCCAGGACCCGGAAGCGCAGTGTGGCGTCAGACTTGATAATAGAGCAGAACTGTTGGTGTTTTTCGTACCTTGAATATTTCGTAACTCAAAGCATTCATATCTCAAGGTACTACTGTAGTTAAATATTTGACATACTGCAATGTCTGGCAGCTGTCTGGTACTGTCCTGTTTCTTGTTCATGCCTTTGGCTAACCTTGTTGGAAAAGACACAGAGCTTACAATCTATGCTTTTGTTGACATTGCAAGGCTTTATCAATATTATACAGTTCCCAAATATTTTATCTGAGAAAGTTTATGTATGGAAGGCATCTGTTGCTTTGTTCAGCATCTGTGAACACAGCTGTGCTTCCTAAAATTGAACAGTTCACAAATTATCTCTGCCTCAATGCAAATGTGACCATGTTTTCTCCTGTCATATTTGTTTGCATCAGACATGCCAAATAAAAGAAGCCCATTGCATGTTTTTACACACCACAAAAGTTTATTTCAGTGATGGCTGAGTGACATTATTCATAGAACCAAATGTGCGCCAGCATTGTTTGAATTATACCACATGCACAAGCCCTCGCCCCTGACAGTCTCAAATCTATTCTCTGAACAGATTCAACTCTTGAGGGGCATTCAGTTTCGTTCAAGAAGAAACCAGGATTTATATTTATCTCAATGCCTTGGTCTTTAGCGTCCGACATGGATGGAATATCACAATTCAATTCTGAATCTCAATCTGAAGCATTTCAGAAATGCAGAGAAGAATAATGAAACAGATTGTGTGTGAAACAAAGAAACATTTTTCATCATGTAACATCTATATAAATTTGCTGTGTATTTTTTGCCATTATTTCTATTTTGCTAGTTTTGAAAGCAAATAATCATCCCTTGGCTATTTGCTCTCAGGAAATTAAGTGCAAATGTCTTCCTCTGTCATAGGTTTGGCATATAATTATACTTGCGGGCCACAAAATTGACTTTTTGCTTTGAGAAGTCTTGGTCGTGTGAACTGTCATCTCTCTGTTAATTTCCCTGGAGTCTACCCCTTACAAATTGTATGTCACTCTATGCTGAATTGAAATGTAATGATGCTTTGAGGTCCCTTCAACAGGCGATCGAATAATGCCTGCAGAGTCGCGCTGATTTTAAGGGCTCATTTTAGCAAAGAAAAAGGAAAAAGAGCTGGTTATTTATTACCTTGCAGTCGACATGGAGATGGCTG